ATAGGCGATAATGAATAGTGATTTTGCCTACCCTCATCATTGTTTAAATTTCATCGTGTGGTCACGATTTGTCGGGTCGTGTTTTATTTTTTCATTTTTTTCTACGAATCGGAATGACCTAAAATTTGGATGATGTGTACATCTTACTGAGGCGAATCTAATAAAAATATAAAAAAAAATTATCCGTAAAAACTAAATTGACCAAAATACCTTCAAAATGTTTTGGGGTATTTTGGTCAAGTTTTTCATGTAAAATATTGTTTTTATAATTTTTGAATATTTTCTTATTTTTGATGAATACACACTCCAAATTTTAGGTAATTCCAATTAGTAGAAAAAAAAATGAAAAATAAAACACTATTAACAATCGTGACCGCGCGATAAACTTTGGACGGTGATAGGGGTAGACAAAATAACTATTTATTTTCACCTATAAACGTTGCGTAGTATTTTCCATTTATATATATATATATATATACCGTATGTTTATGGAAGATGAAAGGTGGGAGTTGAATCCTCATCTCTCGCTCTAAAGTTAAAACTCATGACTATGGTTTCTTTGCAAAACTTCACCATTGAAGAAAGAAGCCCCAAATTTGCAGGTTGTGGGAAGCGAACTCCTCTCTCTCTCTCATATTCCATTGCAATCATCACTCAGCAAATGCCTCTCTCTTGCTCACTCTCTCAACCTTTTTATGTAATTTATAGGCAGCCTTAAAACATCCAAGGAACAAAACTCTCTTTTGATACGTCGCTCTCTGTCTCTTTCTAACTTTGTCTCTTTTCACCTCTCTCTTTTTTTTCTGTCTCTCTCCTGTGATCCTGGAGGGATCATGCCCATGATGAGAAAGCCTGGTGAGCCTGGCTTCATTGGGTAGAGAGATTCAAAACGCTAGGCTATGAGTTTAGTATGTGGGGATATCATCCTTGTTATTTTTCTTGGGTTTAGTATAATGGGGATATCATGCTTGTTATTTTTCGTGGGTTTGCTGGTTTTGATCCCATCTCAGAGAGAGCAGATTTGAAGCTCGTTGTGTCAAAGAAGAGCTTTGCCTCATTTGCATAAAGCAAAGGAGTAGTAGAGAAAAGCCATTTCATTTAGGGGAATGTTTCTACGGGACCCCACCCACATAGAAAAAATATGTGACTATTATTTTCCAATCGTTGGATACGAAGAAACGGTTAAGATAACATCAATCAAAATATCACATATTTAAAACCAACTCCCTTTGGTAAAGAAAAGGGGGCTACCGTTTGAAAGCCGATTAACACGTTTATCTCTAATTTTGTGACATTGAGATAGGTGTTATCTAAGCCGCCCCTTTAGATCCAACGGCTACAAAATACTAGACACATATTTTTTCTATGTGGGTAGGGTCACATAGAAAGTCCCCCATTCATTTACGGGGCCTGAGAACCTTTGTGCTTTCCTCGCCAATGCATCACAAAAGAGTTGTGCTATGAAGCTATCTTTCTTGTTACCAAAATAGCAAAAAGTGGAACTGATTGTATCCGGATCCCATAGATAGATTTCAGATTCGGATCTAGATCCAAACATTTGTGGATCCAATCGGATCTTGATCCGAATCTAAATCTTATTTACATTTTTTTGGATGTAGATCCAGATCTGGGTGGATCCAAACCCGATTTGAAAGATTCTCAGCTCTGCAGACACCTATTCCTGTTCAAACTTTAGCGGTACTTTAGTAGTATTGTTAGCAAATAAAAGGGGCATCCAAATAGGGCCCCAAGCTTGGTTGTATTTAGCATTTGTCTCTTATGCTTTATTAGTTGTTCGTGTACGATAAACACCTATTCACAAATGTTTGCATATATCAATATATTAAAGATACGATATATGTATTTGACAATTTAAAAATCTAAACAATCCTTAATATTTTTTCCTAAAACCTTACTATATTTATAATCAGATAAAATCCCACCTCCTCCTCACTTTAAAGCCTCACTATAAAATACTCAACATTAACTAAAATCCTACCTCCCTCTCACTTTAAATGGCATACAGATATGTTGTATTTGAAAGGAATTTAAATTTTTTTGTTTTTTGACACTCCTTTATACTACACATGGACACAAGTATTAGCATTGTAGACACCTTTTGTTTGCAAGTCGAAGGTCAGGACCTTAAAGTATAACCCGAAAGCAAATGGAACTAAGGCACCTTTTATTTGTCTTTTTATCAATTTCTAAAGTTTTGAATTTTAAAAAGGGTTATAAGAGAGAGATCAAATATAAATTAAGTCTGAGGTATCTCGATGTGATTGGTGGTGTTTACACAATAACATCTAAGGTAAGACGACTTAATGTCCACTCCACTTCAGATTACGTAATGAAAAATCAAGAAAATGAATATAATAAGATAATTTATTTTTTTAGTACAAGAAGATCACAATCATTATTGACCATCAATTATGAAATAAGGTGATTGGACATGTGTCATTGATTGGACACAAAGCTCAAAATAAAATTTCTTGAATATCTTCACATACTTTAATATGTAAGATGTCTTATTTAATGACTATACAATCTCACTTATTAGGGGGTTCCTAATTCTAAAAAGGATAACTTAGTCATTTTCCAAAATATTTTTGGAGAATTCAATTGAGTGAAAAACAATTAAAAAGTTAACCATTCCAATATTTAATGTAAAGATTTGATCACCTTGATGACTTTTTGTAAACATTACGGTTTCTATCAGTCCCCACACTCATATGTAGAAATGCGTCCCCTCTTAGTAATCTATTTTTCAAATGGATTTTGTCTCTAATTTTGATTGAGTATATAGTCTATAACGGTCATTAATATGTAAAAAATAAATATTACAATTAAAGTCGAGTCCCCGTCCCCGTCCCGAATAGTTTTGACGTCCCAAATACCAAAGTCGGGTCTAGGGGGTTCCGAGTCGGGTCGGATCCATTGCCGGTCCAAGCGACTGCCTAAATGGAGGGAAGGCATTGCAAAAGTCGACATACACAATGAGGGATTTCCAGATTTCAATTTTATGATTCACCTCATCGTCCCCCCGCCTGCCTGCCTGCCTGCCTGCCTGCAAGTTAGTTCCTCTCTCTCTCTCTCTAAACTATTATTATTTTCTTGTAGATTATCTGATGTTTATTCTCCTGCTTGGATAATGTCGTTGTTTCCATCAGTCATCAGGGTCTCATTTATGTAGTTTCAAGTTTGAGTATTTCTGAAACTGCAGTTCTCTTTACTTATAAGAAAACGGGACTATGCGATGCAAAGAATTTGTTTCTTGTTATTTTTCTTCTTGAATGTAAAATTCACAGGGTATAACAATCTTAGATGAACAGTACGACTTTTTTGATCTTGAGGTGCTCCCCGATTATTATCACCGCAACCCTAATATGCAATTTTTTTCTTGATCAGCACTTTCGCCATTGGATTGTTGTTGACGTTTTGTCATCCAAGTATTAATTTGTGTGCTCTTTTTTCCGAATAAGCACCTTGTACAAATATTTAAAAATTTTCTGAAGTCCTGAGAAAAATTCCACGTGCTCATGAAGTTCTCGGTTTTTTGAATACCATGACTTGGAGGATCTCTCGTTTTGAAATTGTATGGTGTTTTCGAGTTTTGCATGTTCTGGTTAATCCCTTAGAATCCTTTTCTTTTTATTTGTTTCTTCATCATGACAAAAGTAGACCCTTCAGTTTCAAATTTTTTTTATCTGTTTCGTATCATACCAGAAGTTTATTCAATTGTAATATCAATGTGTTAAAAGCTTAATATCTAATCAGGTCATGAATTCCAGTTTAAAATTGTAAGCCATAGAAAGTAGATTATGAGGGTTATTACTTTGAGGGACTGTAGAAATTGAACTTCCAGATTTCCTTTAAAAGCCTAAGTCCTTCAGAGCATGTTTTAGCCTAGCTGAAAAGAACAACTAATGAAGCCTTTACTTCTATGTTACCCCAAAGAAGTGGAACTTTTAATTATGGACACCATGGATTGTTTCATATCATCAAGGAGGATCCCAAATGTAGGCCTTCAACCGCAAGGCAGAGGGCAACTTGAAACAACATGACATGTTTGCAGATTCACATTTTGCACCATGGATGTTCTATTCGTAGCCAGTACACACCTTAATCGGTTCATTCTACTTATTTGTGGCCTTCAAGTGAAAATACTTGTTGGTGGTGTGTAATTTATACTTTCATAGGCATTGGCCTTACACATATCTGAAGTTCTCATTAGCTGAAATTATCTGAATGGATACATCATGGCCACATGCAGAAGGGATGGCTTTTGGAAGGTGAGACTATATGCATTTTGATGGTGCCAACAATCTAGGTGGGTCTGTAACTTATTTATGAAGGCAAGACAAAATTGTGAAGCTATGTTGTTTGATTTTTATAGTTGAGCTGGGGGGAGCACTAGGCACCTGAACGATATGTGCCCACACATTCCAAGTATTGTTTTGTAAGAAATTGAAAATTTTAAATAAAGAAAGTCCCTATTCCAATTGGGAACTCTCCTTTTAGGCCGGATTTTCGAAGGAGGAGTTGCATGGGACCCACCTTTGTTTTAGTATCCTTGGGGAGACAATTTCTTTGTCTATGTTAGGGTTATTGTAGACATCTGAAGATGTTTTGGATTATATTATCCATTTTGGTGGATGTGGTTATCAGTCCTTAGATGGATTTGCTCTGTGTTTTAAAATACTTATGATAAACGGTTATGGTATCAGCAAATAAGGGGCTTAAACTTTGGTTTGGTTGACTCATCAGTATTATTTTTCTCCAGTTCGCTAGGCTGAATAGTTTGAATGATTTCTTTTGGCCTCTATCTAAAAGGCTGTGGTCTCTTCTCTACTTTTGTTTAAATAATTATTATCATGATCTGTATATGTCGATATCATGAAAACTTGTGAGTAGTGGTGTTTTAGGATAAATTTAGATCCCATTAGCATACAAATGTGCTCAATGAAACTAGGCATGTATGTTGGGAACCGTGACTTGTCTATTGCTCCTTGTTGCTATGAGCCCCCACTATAACAAGTTCACTATAACAAGGTCAATACCTCTAAAGCAACTTGGCTATCACCGGCAAATCAATCTTAAGAAACTTAGATACTAAACAATAACATTTGGTGCAATAAAGTTGGGGAAAAAAAAGGAAACCAAGAAAAGCAAAATAAGGAAATCCAAAACTTCAACAACTCATGCCAAACCACTAGCCATACACCCCCAACACAAATATACGTGGTTCAATCTCATCGCGCTACATCCGCGAGCAACGATGGATATGATTTCATTACCATAGAAGAATAATTAGATTTGGGTAAACATATGAGTTAACTCACAATCAATAAGGCAATGCTGATTCTCCTTTCCACGCCATAAAACTATTAATATTTGTTGTGTTTCAAAAGAAGCTGTATCTTTGAACCATATTATTACTAATGTCTTTTTTGGTCTCGAAGACCATAGCCCTCTCTATATGGTCATGAGATCATTATTGGTGTATTCATAGTTTCTAAAAGTGGTCCGCCCAGCACCTAGGTCCGCCCAGTTTTGGTGTCTTTTGTTTGAATTATGAAAGATGGATGAAAATGCATTCTTAGTCATGCATTTTTTATACAAAATCTGGATCTAAAACAAGATCCTGGACTTCGCCCCTTATGAACCTAGGCTGCCTAGATCCCTGGGCGGCCTAGTCCCGCAGCCCCCGAGGTGCCTAGGGCCGCCCACCATTTTTCGAAACACTAGGTGGACTACATTTTTTTGTCTTGATTGACAATGACCGTGCAAACTTGTCATTTTCTCACTATTTTTTCAGTTTTGACATGGGGGTCTTTAATTCACATTTTTACATGGGTTTGACACTTAACGTTATGTGTATGTTTTATATCCAAGGTTTTCAAAACCTCTAGGCTGCTAGCACCTGGCCTGGTCTAAGGTGCCCAACACATTGGCAGGCGCTCAGAACCTCAAATCCCCTGAGGTGATAAATTTTTCAAAACTACATGTATATGTCCTATTCGAATGCACATATGTATAGATATCTGTGTCTATTTTGTATGTTTTTGCATTTATATGTATTCTAACCAAATTTCTTGTGCAAATATATACACATGAATTTGAAACATGTTTAGAACTTCAAATCATTGAAAATTTAGTGAAAAATATAAACAAGTCTATAGCTTATTAGTCTCCAACTCTCCATACTCCATAGTGGCATCATACATATGCATAGATAGACTCCATCTCCAAGTCTCCAATATGACCAATAAAATATAATAAAATATGGTGGAATATAAAAGATAAATGTAATACAAAAGTAAAGAAAGAGGAGATCTTTGATTCTTCAAATCAACAATTTAATCATCATCTTCACTCATCATCAAAATCTTTGTCATCACTTGCACCTTCATCTAAATCAAGGTTATCATGATTAGAATCATCAACCTCTTCAACATATTGGTCATCTTCCTTAGTTTCTTCTGAATATGCCTCCTCCTTCTCCTCTATCTCCCTCATCCTTTGTGAAGTGCCAAAAACAGTTATTGCTTAAGTCACCCTCCTAGGATCTGAAGCTGGACGTGAAGCCTCCTCAACCATATCTAAGTCAAACCCTCCCCAATGACCCTCTTTAGTCCCAGTGTCTTAAACCAACCACTCAGTAGCATTTCCAATGTCCCTGGAAGTGATGGGATCCCTCTTCTCATGCTTGATTGAACTTCTCCTTAAGCTTCTGATACTCTCTAACAAATACCAATATATGGAACTTCCTTTGCTCCACTCTATTCCTGCTCTTTGTATGCACCTACAAGGAAGAAATCATGAGTACTACCTGACCCATCTAGATTTTCAAATTTGGACTTTCAAAAAACTAGAGTAAAAGTGTAAAAGTATAATTAAGGGAAATTTCTCCCTACACCTTAATTTGGTGTATGATTTCCTCATAGACCCTGAATTTTGAAACTTTTCTAATTGCTAACTTTCTCACTTCCCTATCTTCTAACCCTCTGAACGGTTATTACCAAAATATTTTTCATTTGGCACTAGTTTTTTGTCCTAAACAAAATTCGTAAGGACGTGCAGGTCCTTCTCTCATTTCACTCTTTCTTCGTCTGTGTCTCTCTCTCACATCTTACACCTACCCCATACATTCTCTCTCTCTTTCTCTCTCCCTCTCTCTTGCCCAACCCATCTCTCTCCCTCTCTCTCTCTCTCTCTC